CGTGGATCAACATGGGTTTGGTTACGTTTATTTCGACTTTTTCTTGGATCTACACGGCCTGAAAATGTTTCATCATTTTCAAGACGTGGATATTCAAGAGGATCACGATGATTGACTGCTCGATGAATTGTGTGTGTCATATTTACGTTTACTTTATCAATATATTCAACTAAGTTTTATTCTCTTTGTTTCCCTTTGTAAATACCATTTACACAAAACAATTAAATACCGTTTCTTTGACAACCATATACCTCACTTAAACAATTTAAAATTATCAATTCTATTTAAGTTTTCCTTTTTTCATTTGAATTTTTATCGAAATAATTTTGTTGTATTCGATTTTTTGTTTTCTTTTTCTTTGATAATAATTTGTTTGTTTGTTAATAGAGGACACTGCTTGTCAATTGATGAATTGCGCTCTTCTCATCAAGTTGAATACTTATTTAAAATATTTAAATTGAATAAGAAAAAAATCTCTAAAAATTCTCTTATCATATTTGTTTGTCTAAGTGGATGAACATGTTATTGAAAATAATTGTATGCAAGCGGATTTCCTTGGACAATCAATATTCATGTGCTCATTCATTCGTACTGTTTTCATATAGAATAGACCTTTTAAGAGAAATTCACTTACATGTTATAAATGAGATTGCACAGACAATTTATTCTTTTTGTTGAATAGAATCTAAGACGAAAGACAAGATCAACTAATCTTTACGAATGATATAAATATAAGAATTTAAACGTAGTCGAATGTTTTTTTATGGATTATCATTGGATATATATCTAGTTGGTCAACGGTTGATTTATTCAATAATTCATATATTTATTGTTACAACCAATTCTATTTGACTATTTTATTCAAATAATATCATTTATTTTATTTTTATCTATCAATCAACTTTAAAAAGAAAAAAAAAACTTCTTAACAAATTTATTTCAGTAATCATTTTTTAATATAATTAATATCAACTTTAGTGAAATTCTTTTCGCATATTCAATAAGATAATTGTTCAATATGATGGATTTATTTTTATTATCGATAAAATCAATCGAATATTGAAATATTTTCAAATATAACTAAAAAACGCTTTAACAATATTTAACGAATAATTAAGAAAAAAATTCCAATTTAATTTATTTTATTTTATTTGCATATTATCTGAATAAGTTTGTTGAAAGGTAAGTTTTATTCATTGATCATATATTAAGAATAAATTTGGAAAATTTTTCATTAAATAGTAATCTATTTGTTAATGAGATAGATATTTTCGAATATGTTTTTATTATATAAATATAATTTAACTTATTGGTGACAATTATCTTTAGAAGTATTTGACTATTGAATAAAACAAACAAACAAGATTCTTCTTGTCAATGTTTGAATGATATATTCAAGATAAAAAATGATTTTTTTTTCTTAATTACATAAAAGGAAGTGTTATTTTATTTTTAAAATAAGAGTAACAGATTACAAGAATAATCCAAATTATCTTTCACTTTTTTATTTTATTAAATAATAATACATTCACATAGGACTATGGACTATCTTAGATTTATTTTCAAGACATTTTTATACAAATAAAAACATTCTTATTATTTAAAAAGTAAGTTCATTGTGATTAGTTTTAAATAAATATAAAATGAACGTTGTTTTATAGCTAGTGAGATAAATAAATAATTAATGATTTAATTAATATTCCATAGATAAATATTGTTTCATGTTATATTATGGTATATACACATAAATTATTTTACTTTTAAATTTGTTTATTATCAACATATATTATTATTGCATTTAAATTATATTCAAAATAAAAACAAATTATTTTATTTTATTGATAAGATAAATATCAGCGAAATAAATTCGGTCTTTTTTTTTAATGAAAAAAAACATATTTTCTTCTTATTTTTCTTTCTTTTCTTACGCTATGTCAGATAACAGAGGAAAAAAATATGATTTTGTAAGATGATGATGATGATGATGATGATGATGATGATGATGATAATCAGTCGTGTTTCTTTTATGGTAATGTGACAACGCTTCTCGTTCATTTAATAAAAGAAACAAAATAGTCTTTTTCTTTTTTTTCTCGTTATTATGCTTAGTTGGATGTTGACATTATTTTATGGTAAGATTCTCTCTTCTTTCCCTCTCAATAAAACTTCATTGAGTTATTCATTAGAAATACAAGACAAATCCTTGCTTTTAGATTTTTAAATTATAATTAAACGATCATTTGATTATTTTCTTAATCGAGATATGCGTCAAGTATTTATCTTTCTTTTTATTCGATTTGACACTTCTATCATTTTGAATTTGACATGAGAGTAATTAAAGAAAATGTTGACCATTTTTAATAAAAAGAATTATTTTATGGTAAAAATAAAAACATCTTGAAATGATTAATGATCGTTGAAAAATTCTAGTTGATTGAAATGAACTCAAAGTCATGTTCAACATATGTTTATTTCTAATGATCGTTAATAAATATAGATTGAATATATAAATAACCTTATCTTGGTCAATAAAATAAGGTTGTTTAACAAAAAAAACCGCTGATTGTTTCAATTGGAATATAGTTGTTGTTGAAGTATGAATGATTCGAAATGTAATTTGTAATGGATGCATATAAATGACCTATAATGTTTTGAATTGCGTTGATGTTCTCGATAATGGTTAGATCTATATGAGAAAAATAAGAACTTCACATCCTGTTTGTCTGCATTGTTGTTAAGTATTCTTTTGATCCATTGTGTCGATTTATTTTTAATAAGAAATACTATGAGATCCTACCTCGTTTCTTTCGAATCATTACGTTTTCTTTCTTATTTAATTGCAACACAACATACAATGATCAATTTTACTCGGTTTTTCTTCTTTTTTTCTTTTTCCTTTTGTCTCCTTTGGGAGTTACACGATCCAAACGGAACAAACTCAACGTGAAATAGAAGAAAAAGAGGAGAAGCAGTTGTCAATAACAGGTAAGGAACACATATTATATATATAAAATAAAGAAAAAAATTAAATAAAAAAAGTCTGGTTAAGACAAAGATATACAATGAATGTTGTAAATTTATGAGAGATTAAATGTTATTTAAAATATAACAGTAATAAAATGTTTAACTAATTATTATTGGGAAATAAACATTTATCACAGTGACAAATATATAGTTTGTCGTTGTATTGAATAAAGCGATGTAAGTATCAATTTAAGATAAATAAGCGTAGGTTTGCTATAATTGACATGAATGTATAAGAAAAAAAAAAAAAAAAGAAAATATCAATTGTAAAAAAGAATAATACGAAAAAAATTGTTTTAGATATATCTGATGAGCATATCATCTGAAATTGAAAAAACATCCGATAACGATGTTTATCGTTGGTATGCCGATACAATTGTTTATCGTGGTTTTGGCCCATTAATAGCTTGTTTGGGTTTTGTCGGTGGAACACTTTCTTGTCTTGTTTTTCGTCGAAAAGCCTTAAGAAAAAAATCTTGTTCAATTTATTTTTTATTTTTGGCCTTAGCTGATCTTTTATGTATGATTTGTTGGCTCGTTCATTTTGTTTTACCAACTTATAATATTCAACTTCTTACATTATCTAATTTTTTTTGCAAAATATTTGTATTTTTTATGTATTTTGCTTTTGATTTGGCTAATTACATCTTAACTGCATGGTATGTCTTTTCTTTTTTTTTTCTTTTATCTTAATTAAAAACAAAATACACTCATTTTATATAATTAACAAAAGAAAGAACTTTTTAATAAAAAAGAAAGTTTTGAAGGAAAAAAATATTTTCATTTATAATAAAAAATAAAAGTTTCGCATGATTCTTAATAAAATAAGTATAACAAAAACACACAAGTGTTAAATTGATGTCTATGACATGTGACAAAAATGCCTGATCATATTTAAAAGAAAAGAAACCATTGATAAGTCATGCACAAAAATCCTAATGGTGCATATACCATTCAAAGGAAGAGAATAAAATAATCATTAATTAACTTGATGCAAATATAAAAGAAAATATCTATCAACATAATTCGATGTTTGAACAAATCTATTCGTGATAAATTCATTTTTAAATACCTAATCAATCTATTAAAGATTTTTAATCAAATGGTCTAGGAAACATCTTTATTGCCATTTTAATTATAGAATTTTATCAATAATTTTCAGCATATGTTCTATAATATAGTTAAACATCTTATTTTCCGCTTGAATCTTCATTTGACCTTTGACTAGCTTATGGAATTGATCATCTCTCTCTCTTTGTTCAACTTATCTTTGTTTTAATAGACAAATATATTTTACTTTTTTATTAATTATGAATAATTTTTATTAATGAATTATGAATATAGTTACATATATATATATACATTTATTTGTTAATCAGCTATGATGAATAAATATATTTTAGTTTTGTAGAAGTATCAATCTCTTTCGAAAGAAATATGCTGAAAATAATTTTTTTCTAAATTTCATCTGAGGAAGGAAGTTTGCTTGCTTTATATTAAACACAAATTAGATCCTTGTTATCTTAAAAAAACAAAAAAATCTTGCTTTATAACAAAAATATTTTCTATGAAAGTTATATTTATCTTGTTTTATTATTATAATCTAGAATATGTTTTATGTATTATTGATAAATAATTTATTTTAATTTAGTTCTATAGATCGTGCTGTAAGCGTTTTATTTCCAGTTGGAAGTCGTAAATATTGTCGCCGTCAAATGGCATATACAATAACATTAATATTATTTATAATAAATACATTATTAAATAGTCATTTATTATATGGTTTTGTTGTATTAACTGCAAATTCAACATTAAACACAACTATTCGAATTTGTCATCATCGTTTAGATTCAGATAAATATCAAAAATTATTTTCAGCATATGATTCATATGTTGATGTTATTAAAACAAATGTTATTCCATTTATAATAATGAGTTTTTGTAATTTAATAATAATAATGCGTGTATGTCGATCAAGTTCATCAATTAATTTAAATAATGGAAGATATTGTTCAAGAACAAATAAATCGAAAAGAAAACATGAAAAAGATCGACAATTAACATTCATGTTACTTGGATCATCAATTGCTTTTCTTGTTCTAACACTTCCAACTGAAATAAATGATATAATTAGATCGAATTCAAGTGAAAAAGTTGTTAATGAAAAAGATTATTTATTATCAGCTATTCTTCTTTCATTTGCACACCTTAATTATGCTGTAAGATTTCAAATATTTCTTTTTATTATCTTATATTAATAAAGTTTTTTTTTTTTTCTTTTTAAGATACATTTTTATATCTATACATTAACTGGTGAAGTATTTCGTCAACAATTAGTTAAATTATGGCCAATAAATATAATATGGCCATATATAATTCGACTTCTTCGATGTAAACAAGATCAATCTTCATCAACAATTGAAATAAATAATTATCGAACAAGACAATGTGACAATAATTTAAATACAGAATTTGATTTATCATAAAATCAATTAGTTTAAATAAAACAAATTTATTTAATTCGTTTATTTATTTTATTTAAATTAAATTATTTCAATAATTTTTATTTTTCTCAATATTATCAAATATAATTCAATAGAATATCAAATTAAACTATTTCATATGTAATTAAAACAATTATTTTTCAACAAAATATCAACAAATATTTTCAAATTTAAAATAATTATTCAATCAATAAAAATTAGTAGACTTTCTTAACATATGAAAATAATCAAATCGAATTTACCAACATATTATAACAAGACTCTTACACATTTTTTTTATAAAGCCTTTAAAAAAATAGTCGAAATGAGGGAGAGACGATTTTGAAATAATTCTACTTGTAATATGTTATTAAACGATATAGTCGACAACGAATATCGAATATAATAACTGTTCATCGTCATTTAAATTGAATATCTTACAATGAAATAGAATTTTAATTATCGAAAAAAAAACGATTCAACTATGAATATTTATTAGATGATTTTTATATTACATTCTATTTGTTAATGTATTTGAAAATATATTCGATATAAATTGTCTAAGTTTGCTCTTTATATGATCTTATCTAATATTATATTATATTTTAAAATATTTGTCTAGTAACGATGGTTGAAATATTTTTTTTAAATAGATTTGTTCAATTTTGTTGACAAGAATCATAAATAATCAAATTGTTTTCCGAATAATTAAGATAAATAAATAAGTAAAATAATATACCGGGTGGCCCAAAAGTAAGGAAATAGAAAAAAAATTGAATATCTCCATTATGGCTGGAGTAAACGAGCTGATGTTTTTGTCAATGATAGAAGCATGTTCAAATTTTATATCCATAAAGACATGCCTAGAGAGCCGCATTTGTTAAGTATATTAATTTTTCTCTATCTGTGAAAAAGTAATTTTTTTTGTTGAGATCACTAGGTAATACTTAACAAAGGGCTTCTCTAGGCATGTCTTTATGGATATAAAGCTTGAGCATGCCTCCATCATTGACAAAAATATCAGCTAGTTTACTCGAGCTATAATGAGGATATTCAATTTTTTTCTGTTTCGTTACTTTTGGGCCACTCCGTATTTATTTATTTAAATAAATCGTCGCGATATATTGATTAAGATTAATAGATTTCTCTCACCAACTATTAACTCGAACAAATCGTTCATTTTTCTATGTTTAATTTCAATCGAATTACGGATTCTTGTTTTTTTGCCTTTCAATTGAGTTTTATTGCACAACTCAATTACATGACTTATTAAAATAAAAATTAAGAATGTCGATGGCAATCCTAATGACTTTATTAAACCTTATTTTCTTTTTCTTTGATTCAATTTAAATATTTTTATTATTCGAAACGATTATTAATGAAAATAAATATTTGAAATTTTTATTTACACTATAATATAATAATCAATTTGTTCTAAAGAAAATAAAAATAAACAAAGTCATTATTCAAATATATTTTAACTATCAATCAGAGATGGGCAAGTCAAGTCAAGTCAGACTTTACTTGACTTGAGTTTTCGTCTAAATGACTTGACTTGAACCTCAAAAACCTCTGACTTGCCCATCTCTGCTATCAATAATATGCCTACATGTATATTCTTGAATAAATATAATAGAATATATAGTTTTACATTTTATTTCAATATGGTTATATGAGCCAGTCCATATAGGCTACGACCGACTTCATAGAGACCCTGCTCAATCGATATAGTCAGAACTTGCTCAATTTAAGATATGTTATAGAGGGAAGAGTTTTATGATTTTTGACGCAAGCCGATTCAAAAAATATTGAACTCTCGATTTTTTTATGAGCATTTTAAGAAAA